GACCTTGAACCTGCACTTCCGCTTGAGCCTGAGCCCGAGCCCGAGCCCGAGCCCCGGCCTGCCGCAGGTAACTGACGCCCGTCCCCGGCTCTCCCCGCGGGCCGCGGCGCCCCGCCTCGCGACGGAGGCTTCCCCATCTGGGCCTGGCCTTCCCGCCCGCGCACTGCAGGGCTTTCTCCACGCCCAACCCCACATCCCCGCCCCCGGGTGACGCGAATGGCCCCGAGGACACAGACCCCGCAGACGGTCCCACGTTCGCTCGACCCCAACACTCGGCCCACTCCAGCGGTGAAACCCTGACCATTGCTGAGAGACTGGGACTTCCGCCCCTTCCCCGCAGTAGGCGTGGTGTGGACATCGCCAGGGACACCACATACCGTGAAAGTCGAGTCCTTCCCACAGTGGGCGCCGATACAGGGTGAACGGCAAAAATTGCCCATCTTGGGGAAGAAACTCAAAGCTGGGGCTGTGGAGATCCTGAATGAGGCTCCTATAATTTCCTGCTGTGTGTCTTTCGTGAATCCCTGAACCTCTCTGGTGGCCAGCCTTCTTCTAGAACCGGGAGGTTGCCATCTCCTGTGATCCCCCAAGGGCCACAGGAAGGCTTGATGGAGACACGATGGCCTGCAAACGGTAAAGCCCGGGGTGCCGGTGAGCCTTGATCTTCCTGTCTGCAAGTGGAGGTGCTCCTGTCGACCTCATATAGGTCCCAAGAGTAGGAGGAACAGTCTTGGTGTGGCCAGAAGGGTTTGCCTGCCTTGGTCTGTGAGCATCTCTCCTGCCTGCTTAGCCTCTGCAAGCTGCACCCCGTGAATGGGTGACTCCCTCTTTCCCTCACCTCTTTTTGGACTCACCTCCACTCCTACCCCCAGACCCAGGCCTGGTAGCAAGGCTGCTTCTGTCCCAGCAAGTGGTAGAACCTGAGAAAAGCGGAATCTGGGGGCACCCCTGATAGATCTGGCTCAGTTGCCCCCCAAGGGAGAGCTTTCTCGGTCAGCATGGATTTTTTTTTTGGGACTCACTGTCACCCAGGCTGGAGTGCAATGACACAATCAGGGCTCACCAGAGCCTTGACCTTCCCGGCTCAAACAATCCTTCCTCCTCAGCCTCCCAAGTTGCTGGGACTACAAGCACCAGCCACCACGCCTGGCTAATTTTTTTTTTTTGAGTTGGAATCTCACTCTGTCGCCCAGACTGGAGTGCAGTGGC